GGGGGAGGGGGTGGTGCTTGTTGTCACGAATATTGCCGCCATTGTTGACGCACGACGTTGTTTCTTTGTTCCGGTCAGAACCACGCTTGATGCAATCCACTGTGGACGATATGCAAGAAGACTCTGTCCCGCCTCACTCGAGAAGGGAAAAAACGCCAAAGGAAAAAAAGCGCATCATAACAACAACAACAACAACAACAACAGCACGACCGTGACGCCAAGAACAGCGAAGACCGACCGTGAATCGACAAGGAAAACGCCCGCGGACTCACAGAGGAGCGCGTGTAGAGTACCTTACGAGGGGCTACAACTGGAATGCTTCTCTCGGCACCTAAATGTACTGCGACTGTCAGTAGTTCGGTGGCGATTGCTTGTGCCTCGCATTCGAGAAACTGCACTTCCATGCGCACAAGTTTCTACACAAAAAAGCCTACACACTGTGTCGTCCAAGAAACTTCCTACTCTTTGATCAACTTGGTTCTACCACAATGACTGCAGTAGTTTTACGACTTTTTTTTTCCATCCTTTTCATTCTGCGCGTCGGTCCTTACACATTCCGGCTGTACTGGATGCTGGATGCACCAGCCGGGGATTCACCACAAATCGGGAAGCGCAGACCACACAGGAGCTGTATTGATCCGTTTACATGCAATTACCTTGATGTTTTCGCGACAACTATTCCGCCGGTCCTTCCCTCGTTGACCCCATGGTCGAAATTTGAAATTTATATCGGAGAAACTACCATCTACATTGCCAATAGCGCACAAATTATTGCTACTCTACTTTTGCACACCTGCTCGGGAAAGGACTGCCCGCGGTTGACCTTCGTGAAGTACTTCTGGGCGTGCGTGCGGATCTGTGTTGCCGTTCGGGAGGAGACGAAGCGACACGAGATCTCTACCCAATCCTTCCCGCAGGCCTCTAGTCCCACGAGAAAACCGTCGTGCTCCTTCTTCGTCCACCGTCCGGTTGCATGTGTTGACCTAGGGATGCCAAAGCAAAAATTTCATGAATGAGGCGAGGAGTTACTACAGAGGTGCAATATAATACAGGGGCTTTTCGCTCCATTTCTCTTTTGGTGTATTTCGAGAAGCACGTGGACAAATCACACCCCGATTTTTGCAGCAGATCCGCCGGGAATAAACGAAAATTCGCGTTATATTTTATTTTGTTAAAAATGGATGTACGGTGAAAGAGTGCCCAGAAACAGGGTTTCCGGTAAGGAATTTCAATGGCCATTATCCCTATGAAATCTAGAACGTCCTTCGTTCAGTATGTTGTAGCGAAAATGGTGAAACTGCACCAACAGAATGTTGTGGCCGCTTGTTTTGCAGTCACAACGTTATTTTCCGTTTGAAATTTCAGCCTTGGCTAACCACTGGCCTACATTGTATGCATACTTAAACTAGTATATTTGACTCGAAGAATTGGGAAAAAATTCAAACGGGAAATTGCTTTGTGACCGCTAAACAAGCGGCCAAAACATTCTGTTGGTACAGTTTTACGATCTTCCCTACAACATACTGAACGAGGGACGTACCGAATTTTTCACAGGGATAACGGCCCATTGAAATTCCTTACCGGACCCCCTGTTTCCGGGCACTATCTCTACTTAAATCCATTTTTATCAAAATCGAAAAGAACGCGAACTTTCGTTTACTCCCGCAGGATCTGCAGCAAAAAACGGGGTGAAAATTGTCCACGTGCTTCTCGAAATACACCAAAAGAGAAGTGGAGCGAAAAGTTCCCCTGTATTATATATTTTTGCACCCCTGTACATCGCGAGAGACAGGGGACGAGGCTTCGTCCATTTCAAAACCTCCTTTCTTGCTCACGTAGCGTGCATACATGCTTCACTTCGTTTGTTCCTCAGAACGCGGTCGCCGCAGTAACAATCTGCCCACGTACACTAAAACTTGACACTACAATTATAGTCCAGGCTGGATGGACAGGAGTCCCTTCAAAGATCCAGGTAGGCGACGACCTATGATATACACATGGAGGACGAGACCTACCTTTATCAATATAGTTTTAGACTAGAATATATGCAAACAACGGCAGAAACGGAAGTACGGCAGTGCACATCAGTTCGGGGGCGGGTCTCCTGCTGTGCTAGGCAAACGAGGTACATACAGTAGCTCTCTCTCTCGGGAGGGTTCAGTTCTACACAGGGTACCTCTTACGCCGGCATGAAGCTAGTCTATAGCAACACACAGCAGCGTGCACTACCGCTGTAAGTCTACTTGTGTACGTGTTGCTGTTGTGGTCGTTCGTCGAGGCGATGAACCGAACATTATTTGTTAGCGATCTGTAGCAGGTCGTCCGTTGACTAGACTTGTCTTTTCGGACTCCGAGGTAGAGTCTAGACCAGACTACATTGTTCTGGAATGCACACGTGTGCTACGCATGACACGATCCATTAGACTACAGCAGTATTGACGCGAAAGGGAAAGTATAACATGTGTTACAACCAGGCTGTATTTTGTATTTTATGCATAGTCTCTTCGGGGAACCTGCACCTTGTGGACTACATCACGGTGGTGCGGGGCAAAACGGGTTCACACGGCGACAGCCCCAGCAAACATAGTGCTTCGTCAAGCAAACTGCTGCGTTCCCATTTATCGAATACACGTTCTTCCCGCCTATCGATGTACAGTTGTCCATCGTTATTTCCTCCTTGTTGTCGTTCTCTCTCTTCTCGGTCTCGCGCATCTCCATCTATTGTCTGTCTCCATTGCGCGAGGCTGTCTGATGCCAAAACATGCCATGAACGCGGCACCCAACCAACCAACCGCTTTCGATCTGCTGCAGATTATGATGGCTCTAGAATATCTCTCTCCCTCTCGTTTTTCTCCCGCCCCTCCCAACGCCCAACCACACAGCAGGTGGATTGCTGAGCTCCTCTCAATGGTCTTACGCGTATCGATACTTCAACGAGACTGTGTTTCCAAATTCATTGGCAATCCTACACGGGGGGTGCGGTAGATAATAGACTAAACGGCGATCACAGACACTGCGGCGATCACAGACGCTGTGTTTGTATGAGACTCTTCACGAACAGCACGCAAGTCTACCAAAGCAAGGTTCCAGCTAAGCAGCCTCTTGCTTACCCACATGCCAATCCAGTTCGACTACCATCACTGCCCCTGCCACTGCCGCCGCCGCCACCGCTTTCTTCAAATGCCTCCTCTCTGTCATCCTGCTGGGGTCGCAGCAGATTTCCGGCGCCGCCACGCAGGAGGAAGTTGTTGTCAATAACCATGGGTGAACTGATGAGTTTGGTTGGAGATTGGTTCGTTATGCGTGTGGTGGGGCGACGAAGAGCAGCAGTCAATCATGGCCAACGACCACCGACGTCTCCTTACCTGCTGCAAGGAGTGCATACCATCACCCTTGCGTCAGGAGCAAAGCACGCACGCACGCACAAGGCAAGCAGCGCTTCAAAGGTCGCCAGGGTTTGGGCCGTTGGAGCTTAACGCCCTTCCGTGTTCCGTGTTCCGTGTCATGGTGGCGGACCACGAGTGCCATATCTTTGGGAAAAATCTTGTGCAATAGTACGTTGTATTCATAGTGTGCCTGGTGCATGGCAGCGATGGAATCATCTTGTCGCTTTACCCCCACGCACATCGACTTCAACTAACGTTACCGCTGCTGCTGCTGCTGCTGCTGCTGCTGCTACTTCCCCCGCCTTCTTCAAGGGCTTGCTCTCCACGCATCCTGCTGGGGTCGCAGCTTTTGCCGGCGCCGAGTCGCCGCTTCGCCGGGTGTGGGTGTGGAGTCAGACGACCATACGTATCCATGCCTGCTGCTGCGAGATATTCGTACCCCATCCTTGCGCCAGGAGGAAAGCACGCGCGCACCTGCGATGGACGTGAGAATCTGGGCTGGTCGCCAACCACGGTTTGGCCATGTGGCGAGATCGAGCGCTGCTCCCCCCACGGCCGCCCCCGTGCTTCATTCGTACACTCCGTGAGCCCCCCTTCAACGCACTTGCGCAATTTGGCAACAGCGGAACGCAACAGCAAGCGACCAACGCGAACTTGACCGCAGAAGGTGCACTTTCCTTTGCTCTGTTGAACGTCGCACACATCACATCCTGGCAGCGGAGCCACACAAAGAGGGCGGCTGCACCAAGGACAAGTACGGCAGGGTTCATCAACCTCGCCCTGCTTGCGATCTCGCTTCAACGACTGCGAAAGAAAGGGACCAAGGAAGAGGTGAGACCATGCGGGGAGATTCTGAGACGATGTGGCATTAATGCATGCATGCGCCGCAACCTTGTGGGACGGAGAAGGTGGAGGGAATATTATGTACTTCGTACATCCGATTCCATGCAAGCTTCAAGTACAGGTTAGAGAAATCGAGTTTCCGACAAAGGTACCTTAGTCATCGGGGTCTTGGCACATATCAGGCTCTCGGCACACATCAGGGTCTTAGCGCAGGATATGCGGGAAAAAAGCGGATTCCGAATGATATGCTGGATTATCACACAGGTATCTTCGTCTCCGCACACTGTGCGGAGACGCAGATATATGCGGTGAGGTTTGACGGTAAGTGATACCCTTTCACCAGAATCTTGTGCTGGAAATTTCGGATACTGTGGGAGCTTTAATCGCGTGCTCCACTGCTACTGCTGCCCTTGGCACCACGACGATGTTCAAAAATGTGGTATTTGTACTCTTTGTTCTCTTCTTTTCGTTCTGAAGAATCAACATCGGCAAATCGGCAAACGGCATCCACTCAACAATTCTAAACGCGGATGAAACCAAAACAGAAGTAAAAAATCACACCAAACTACAACTACGAGCTACCAACGTCTACTACTGTACTTCCCAGGTGGGTTGAACTCTACTTCGTGCACGCGCCCCTACCATCCCAAAAACATCCAATCTCACTGGCAATTCAAAAGAACTATGATCCAAAGTTCGACTACTTCTCCTTCGGTGCCCCCGCCCCCCTGCCCCTCCACGACTTCCACGTCGCTGTCGCTCTCATCAGCGACGTAGGGCAGCAGCTTCCCCTCGACCTCCTTCTGAGCAGCCGTGATGGAGTTGGAGTCGAACCCCCTAGTACCGTCGGCAGCTTGAGCGGCGGGAGAGTCACGTCGGGGTGCTCAGCGAGCCACACGGCGTGCTGCTCCTCGAGAAGGTCGCGGTAGTCTTCCCCGAAGTTGTGCTCGCACCAGGCGTGGTCTTCGCTGCCGTCGAGCGCGAGCGTGAGACCGCAGATCTTGAAGCAAGTCTTCACCGTCTCGGGGGTGATGGACTCCCACGCTTCCTTGCACCACGTAGAGACGACCTCACGCTCCGGTGGCTTCAGCTTCCCCGACCGGGCGTCTGCGACCGCCGACGCGCTGTAGGCGGTGTACTTGCCCCGCAGCAGCCGCTTCATCTGCTTGTTGAGCATGCGGTCGAGCGGTTGGAGCAAGAACGTCAAACCCGCCTGGGATGAAGATGACGATGGTGTTGGCGTCTCTCTTGAGGGCGGCGATGAAACCCTCGTCCCTATAGCACTTGAAGTCGTCCAGCACCAGGATGCACGGGCGCTGCTGGACGAGGCTGCCGTTGTTGGGACGGAGCTTCCAGCTGCCCNACAGCCAGAACGAGCGTGAAGCGTTCCTTCTCTTCGCCTGAGGGGAGGGGGAAAAAATCAACGCGAGGGAGGCGGGGGGGGGAGTAGAGTGTTGAATATTTCTGCGAGGACAACGGTGTGTCGTTGATACATTGGATGCAAACGGTACCGGACGTTTCGAAGACTAAGTTGGTTGATAGTTTGGATGCAATGAAAAAGGAAGTGTCGAATAATCCCGTAGAAAAAGGTAGCAACCCTCCTGTGTCTACCGATAGAGCTACATCGCACCGTGTACCGGCACGCAAAAAACAAACATGTGTGTTAAGAAACTGTCCAAAGACAAAAAATCAGCACACCACACAAAGTCTTGACAAAAATATTTTCTCGCCCTCACCTCCTGTGCTGATGCGAGTATCCTTCGCACCGGTCTTGTCCAGAGTGGTCTCCACCGGCATCTCGTGCTGGACTGGCGTCTGGTCCATGTTGCCGAGTTCCTCGAAAACCTCCGCCTCCACAGACGCCAGCTGCTCGGAAGTCAGATCCTCCCCTTTGGTGGGGCTCTCGTCAGGTGCCGGCGGGTGGCGCCGAGCGTAGATCTCACCGGCGCGCTTAACGAGAGCCTCGCGCAGCTTCATCACCGTCGCCCACGCCATACCCTCGTACCCCTTCGGCAGTTTCTGGCCCACGCTGGTACGCTGGCGGATGCTGGACCCATGCCGCTTGCGGAACCGTTGGTACCAGGAGTTGAATTTGACCTTGAAAGCCAGCGCCTCCTCCGGTTTCGCGTTCGCCGGCATCCCGCCAAGGGCGTCAGGCTTCAGCTCGAGCAGCTTGTTCATCACCTCCCGATTACCACAGCCGCGGTGCTGCTTGCGCTGCTCGTTGATGTAGTCCACAAGGGCTTGTTCGGCGTCGACTGTCGAAGCTTTCCCTCCGCTGTGAACCTGCTTGGCCTTCGAAAGCTTGGGGTTGGCGCTGACCTTCTCCCTGAGCTGCTCCTCCTGCTTCAGCCACTCGATGATACGCTTCCGAGGCACCTGGAGAACTTTCGCCGCGCCGTTGTTTCCCACCGGTTGACCGTCGCACGGGCAGATCTCCCGTGTGTAGGCGCCGCGTTCAGTTTGAACCGGATGGGGTCGCTCCCTTTCCCTCCCACTGCTCCTGACCGCTCGATCGGGAAGTTGGGCTCCGGGTACGCGCGTTTGCCGTTGCTGTTTTTGACGGGGTCGTTGGCGGCTAGCATCTCATCGATAGCCTCGCCGGTTGCCTTCGGCTCCGCAGCGGCAGCTCCCTGATCCGCAGAGGAAGAACCGCCAGCACTAGCCTGTGAGACCTGTGCGGCATGTGAGGCGTCGGCAGGTCCCGCGCTTGCACCCTCCGACATGGTAGCCGCGCGTTGCGTGTGGCTGAGCCCGCAGCTCCGTTCCGGGCATTTTCCCGATTTTCCGCCGGTATTTCTCCGCCACGGAACTGTTGTGGTGGCAATTCCCCGAGACTCGTTTGTGTGTGCAGCTACTAGCTTGTCTGTTGGTTGTGTTGTGATCATCTTGCAACAATACCATACAAGCGAAGTGCTGCTATCCCCTGTGGTTTTCAATGCTAGGATCGCACATATCGGGCACAATGGTGTGCGTTGTTTCTTACAACCAAAATGTTAACTGCATTTCCGCACAGGTATCGCGAACTTGGCACATATCGGGGTCTTCGCACACCTGTGCGAAAAACGTCCGACGTTCGGTCTACAGTAGTCATCGGGGTCTTGGCGCACTGTGCGGTCGATTGTTTAAATGTTTCGAACTTCAGACTTTTTTCGCACAGGTGTGGGAATACCCCGATATGTGCCAAGTTCGCGATACCTGTGCGGAAATGCAGTTAACATTTTGGTTGTAAGAAACAACGCACACCATTGTGCCCGATATGTGCGATCCTAGCATTGAAAACCACAGGGGATAGCAGCACTTCGCTTGTATGGTATTGTTGCAAGATGATCACAACACAACCAACAGACAAGCTAGTAGCTGCACACACAAACGAGTCTCGGGGAATTGCCACCACAACAGTTCCGTGGCGGAGAAATACCGGCGGAAAATCGGGAAAATGCCCGGAACGGAGCTGCGGGCTCAGCCACACGCAACGCGCGGCTACCATGTCGGAGGGTGCAAGCGCGGGACCTGCCGACGCCTCACATGCCGCACAGGTCTCACAGGCTAGTGCTGGCGGTTCTTCCTCTGCGGATCAGGGAGCTGCCGCTGCGGA